TATATATATATAATCTTTCTTTAAAAAAAGGTGTGGCTTTTGATCAAAGGGCTCCCCGTGAACCGGTTTAGATTCTTGGCGGTGTTAGCTCCACGCCGTCCGATGCTGCGGAAGCTGTGCTTTGGCCTTCGGGCTACCCACATCCCCTCCTTGCTTTCTCCAGCTTATGCCAGGTTTTTCTCAGGTTTTTCTCCGGCCGAAATCTTCGACACTTCTTACCAATCCACGAGTTTTTTCTAAAAAAATGATCATATTAATCCCGTTGTATCATCCTCGTCCCGAAAATCGTCGAAAGTGAGCTTTTTGATCTTCCCTTTTCTATCAATTACTTTGAATTTTCTTCTTATGGACTTTCAAATATGTAATTTATCATCTATTTCCTCTTAACTTCCTTCCCCTCGAAATTCCCGATTCTATATTTGTCTGTTGTCAACATATCCGGAACTCCGCCGATTCTTCGCAAGTCTCGCTTTAGACCGTCTCTACTCCCACTTCAGCTGTTTAGGTGTTCGACAAATTGCCGCAATGGGTAGGCTTCCATCCACGAGTGGATGAGATCATGTTCTCTCTGACTAATCTGCGCAGACTTTGTGCCGCCATTGATGCCTTTGCTGCAACTTGCATCGCTGCCAGCATCTCAAAGGCGAGAACCAAAACCGATATTGCGATTTCAGCCCAGGCGTCGAACGATAACTTTCCCACCATTGCTGCATGCAAAGCTGCTGCTTTGAAGAAACAGGTAAAGCAGGAAGCTGTAAAAGATCCATCTTTATGCGCTGTTAGCTCTCAGGATTCAATTCCCCTCGCCGAACCCGCGCTTGTGCAAATAAAGGCTGAAAGAGATCCAGAAAAGCTGTTTCAGCTTTTCAATGCAAATGCTGAGAACCGTCTTGTAGTGGAAAACCGCTTCGCCTTTGAGGATACAGTATCCCGGCTTAAAGGAGCCCGCAGGTTTGATCTCATTGAGAAGCTTCTTGAGCATCAGAGAACACTTCCTCAGGGCCGGCGTGAGGGTTTTGTCCTCAGGATCATTATGCTTTATGGAAGGGCCAGAATGGCTGATCATGCCCTTAGAACCTTTGAAGAGATGCATCTCTTTGGATGTCCTCAGACTGCCAAGTCTTTCAATGCTGTACTGAAGGTTTTATCAGAAAACCGGAGATTTGAGGAGGCACAAGTGCTTTTCAGCAAGGCCTTGACTAAGTTTGGGATTGAATTGGATGTCATTTCATATAATACCATTATCAAGGTTTTGTGTGAGATGGATAGCTTAGATTCTGCCTACTTAGTCATGTTAAAGATGGAGAAGGCTAAAATCATGCCTGATGTGGTGACATACACTACACTTATGTCTGCCTTCTATAAGCATGGTCACCGTGAGGTTGGTGACGGTTTGTGGAACCTGATGGTACTCAAAGGTTGCTCACCAAATTTAGCAACCTATAATGTAAGAATCCAGTTTCTGATTAATAGGAGAAGAGGATGGCAAGCCAATGATTTGGTTCAAAAGATGACTTCTACTGGTATTAGACCTGATGAGCTGACCTATAATCTTATTATCAAAGGTTTTTGCATGATGGGAGAACTTGATATGGCAAAGAGGATCTTTTTGGCGATGGATGGAAGGGGATGCAAGCCAAATGAGAAAGTCTACCAGACGATGGTTCATTATTTTTGTAAAGGAGGTGAGTTTGATGTGGCATTCAGGCTTTGTAAGGATAGCATGAAAAAAAATTGGTTTCCAAATGTTGATACTATTGATAACCTGTTGAAAGGTCTCATGAAAATTTCAAAGGAAGGGAGTGCTAGGGAAATCTTCAAGTTGGTTAGGAAGAAGCAACCACCATACTCAATTGAGGAATTGAAGGCCTTCCAAGACATTTTATTCATTGGCAAGACTCTTTAAAAGTAATGGGGTTTGGATTTTGCCCTCACATATCCTGTCACTAGAGAAGAACCATGAGAGTTCCCTAGAATTCATTCTTTCAGTTGAATTTTTGCTGGGGCAAATATTTAACCTGGTATTGAAGATGTGCTCTGCAATTCTTCCGTTCTTTTCAAAGAAGATTCTGAGCTAAAATATTCAGTGCAGAATCTGATAGCATATTCCTTCAAGTAAGTTGTTTCAGGGTAATATTCCTTTTTTCGCATGAAATATTCAATCCTCTGTGCCACATTCCCTTTTTAAAGTTTTTCTTGATATATCATGTTGTTTTGTTACTTGCATAAATTTGCTATATTGCATCTCTGATACTCTTAAATCAGCTCCTTACTAAGGAAAATTTAAGCATTCAGTGTGGATTTACTCAAATTGGGTCAAGGGGATTTAGTTGTCATAATCACTGTGCTATATAGATGAGGAAGAATGCTTGATCATGCCATGAGGAGCTTGGATAAGATGTCCTGCGATTGCTTCACTAAGGTTTTTTATGTGCTATGGCATCTGATTGATAGCAAATTGCAAATAACATACCAAGCTTTTGCTTGGCTGAATATCAGATGCTAATACTGGTGTCAAAACGAACTTTAGACTTCTTCCTAGAACTTATATTCTTACATACTTAGGTCCTAATGCACTGAAGGTTCATTTGGGACAGGTGTACTGTGTTCTTAAGGTTAATTGTAGACAAAACAAAGATTTTGAAAGTTGTTGCTGATATAACACTTTTTTTTTCAGAAAGTCTTGGACAATTTTCTAATAATAATTACCGCACTGGTTGTTTTGATTGCGAAAAGCTATCCATGGTAGAAATTTTGAAAAGCATAAAAATTTGCAGCTAGACAAAAATAAGGTAGCAGTATATAAAATAAAACTGTGAAAAATTATCTCAACTGCACCCTTAGTTATTAGCTTATTTTGGCAAACATTGGAAGATCACTTTACTTATGTATTATGCCTTATTGATTAGGATATTTGGTTTAACAAGCCAAACAGTTAAGAAGCTATTTCTCAACTCTATCTATGAAGGCTTTTTATTCTTACTGGGGAGAAGCTCAGCTCATTGACACAAACTATCTGGGTGTTGCCAATCTGGATGATGTAATAGTGAAAATTAAAGACAATGTGATGTTGGGATGATTAGTCGAAACAACCGGAGTGATGATGCGATTCTGAGCTAAGATAGTCTACATTTTCACGATGTTGGCTCGACATGTGGTGCTGAGTCATGAGATACGATGACACTGGTTCGAGTAACTTGCATGGTTGTAGAAGATGGTGGTGACAATGATGCAGAGTTGGTTCTGCTTGTAGTGCTTGTATCAGTCCCTGTTATGTGCATGAGAGAGTGATGGTAGGGAGAGGCTGAGAAAGGCAATTAAGGTTCATTTGTGATGGCTTGTTTACATTTGTATTCTTTTCAGAAAATTGGCATAATTTGGTCTAGCTACATTTTTTTACTATTTTTTCAGCAATTTTTATGGTGAGAAGTAATATTTTAGAATCAGATCTGTTATAGTTGTTAATTTATTTTGAAGTGGACAAAGGCTATGTATCTGCACCATATTTTTCGAACAAATGATTTTTCCTTACAGCAATTGTATAATTAATTGATAGGCAGTTACAACGTTTCTAAGGGACCCTAAGGGCTCATTTGGCTTCTTTGGCAGACGAACTTCAAAAGTAGCGTGCCTACCAGAACGGCGAAATTCGCCTTTTTCAGATCGCAAGGAGGTCCCTCTGTTTCGTTGTTCTGGATCGGATTCCTTTGTTCCGGTGTTTTGACTTATGCCGCTACAAAATTCTTATTCGAACATTCATCTCGTCTACCAGATCGCAGTTTTTTAATGGAGTTTTTCAACCTGTAGTTTTTAAATGAAATTTTTTTAATGGCAATGTCGGGTCAAACGAGGCCTAAGGTTGACTGTCCCCTTGGGACAGCTACAATTTTTTGTGAAGTTAAAATAGAGGGTTTGAAAACTATTTGAAGATTGTGTGCTTTTTTCTTTTGAAAAAAAATCACATTACTTGGTAAATTTGGTTCTGAAGAGCTCAAAATATTAAACAATAATAAAAAAGTTTAAGTGAACAGCAAATTGGTATGGTATTGTATAAAGTTCTGAGAAAGCTATCTCAAACAATCCCTAAGTGTAGCTGGTATTGAGGGTGGTCTGGGGGCTTGTGTAATAGCCTCCGACCATTTTTTTTTAATATATACCAAGAC